GGGGTGGATAATGCAAGACAAAATGTCAGACCTAACATACTCAAGAACCTTGTTTTCAAATGACCGACCAAATTACCCAAAAGAGAAGTAGCACCAAGCGGTACGTAGGTATCTTGAAGCTTGAAGGATAGACGCCGGTACAAAGTGTGGGGGGATTGTTGGTCAAGCTTTCGGCAGCGAAGGTCTACTCGGGAGCGTTAGTGGGGTAGCTACCCATGGTGTACCGTACAAACGTTGATGACCGTAACTCATTTATCAACCCTGGGTCGACTTAGACCGCCATCAGGGAAGATAGTGCTCTCTGGCGTCTACGAGGAGGGGATTTTTTATGTTTGTATGTCATAAAAATCAAGGAAGAGACGGACATCCCGATGTGTGAGTGAGACCTCCTGTTATGCAAGCCACCCTTGAACCCTACGTGGGGAAAATGACCTCCCCGGAGGAAAGTACCCAGTACAGCAGCTGGGGCAAATAGAGAGAAGATACGGTCGTGGGACGCTTGGGTTGGTTACCATGCAGATCGCCTGGCACAAACTTGGGGTACTTGTGCTAAGGGTGTTGAACTTGGCTCCAGGCTATGAGCCCATGTTGGAGGCACTTTTTAGTGTCGGTGAGCCGGCAAAAGAATTGAAAGACACCAGACCCTCAACAAGTACTAGGATTGGGAAGTCCCAGTAATTTGAAAGCATCCCACTTCAAACAAAAACAACGAGATAGTCTCGAAAGAGATAAGGAGGGAGACGACAAGGCACAAAGGGTGGAGAAGGAGAGAATGGAAAGGTGCAGTACTGGTAGTGTTGATATTTGGGGTCAATAACGACATGACAAGGTTGGAGTTCAAAAGTATATGTGAAGAAGTAGGATTATATTGCTTCGCACGGGGGGGGGTAGAAAGGGAAGGAAACCACTTTAGAATCACGTTTGGAAGGGGAGTAAGCGCAGAATGGGAAAGACTGGAAGTAGAGAAGATGTCGGCGTGGGTGAGGAGACTAGGTTGGAGGGTGTGCATAGCAAATAGGATCCAGGAAGTAAGGCGTAGCCCAAGGCTGGCTGAAAACAAAGGGGGGCAGGAGGTTCGAAAGGATCAAAAGGGAAAGCAAGCCAAAGTAGGGGAAGGGGGGAGCAGCGAAAGGATAAGGCAGAAGGGAAGGCGAACGAGGGACAGAAGGAATCCTGAAAGGCACGGGAAAGTAGAAAGTAGGAGTAAGGAAATCAGACTAGGGTCTTGGAATGTATGCGGGTTTGCCACAGATGAGCGTAAAAGACTCGAAATTGCCGAGCAAGCAGCCGAAAAAGACCTGGACATAGTCGGAGTCCAAGAGTCGTGGGAGAAGGACGGGGGAGAAATAGGAAAAGAAGTGGGAAGCTACACATGGATAGGTAAAATGAGGAGAGGACAGAAAATCAAGAGTAGATGGGAGGGGGGAGTTGGATTCTTAGTCAAGGAGCACATGTGCGACGTAATTGAGGTGATCAGCGACACCAAATTCAACGAAAGCATGTGGATAAGGGTACCAGGGGAACGGGGAAGGAAGGACTTGTTCGTAGGAAATGTATATATACCACCAGAGTCGAAGAAAATGGTGAAGGACATCAAGATAGGGTTCGAGGAGGTAGCAGCGGATGTACAAAACTTCAAGAGAAAGGGAGAAGTAGTTTTAGTTGGGGACTTCAATTCAAGAATCGGGCGAACCACGAACCCACACGGAGCCATCGGGCAATACGGGGAGGGAGCCACGAACAAAAACGGGGAAGAAATGCTGAGGTTCCTTGACAGTAGCGAGATGAAGGTGTTGAACGGTAGAGTACGAAAGACAGAACCGGAATGGACTAGGCAGTGTTTCAAAAATGGAGAACGCTCCATCCTTGACTACATAGTCGTAGAGAATGAGGGGAAAGAGACGGAAGTACGAGTATGCACAACGGATGTAGGCACTACAGACCATGCGTTGGTGTGGACAGCCCTACAACAGACGAGAGTCATACAGAGTAGGCGACGCAGGAAAATGTACAGATGGAGAATAGATGAGCTAGAAGTAGAAGAAACGAGGGTAGAGTTCCAAGAAGAGATGTCTATAAACGACAAGACACTCTCGGAGTTGATAGAGGCAATGGGCACACCGAAGGATGCCACAGGTCGGGACCAGGCTGGATCTAGAATCATAGAAGGGTGGGAAAAGCTGGTAAACACAACGGCAAGTAGAGTTCTCGGTAGAAAGCTGATAGTTTGTAAGAGAGCAGTGAAGTGGTGGGACGAAGAAATCAAGCAAGCAATTCGAGTACGTAGAGAGTCACACGCAAAATATGCGGCAGGGAAAACCGAAGCAGGATGGAAGGAGCATATTGAAAATAGAAAGAGGGTGAAGGAGTTGGTGGTGAAGAAGAAGAAAGCGTTGTGGGAGGAAGTAGTCCAAAAGACTAACGAAGATTTTGAGGGGGGGATGAAGCAAATGTGGGTAGGAATTCAAGGGATAGTGGGCAAGAAAAGAGGGGGAGACACGGGAATAGCGACACTACGATCTGCCGAGGGTAAGATGGTAAGCAGTTCTAAAGGAAAGCGGGAAGTACTAGTAGAGCACTACCGCAAACTTGGGACACCCACCACCAACGACAACTTCGACTCGGAGTTTGAGAAGGAAATCAACTCGTGGGCAGAGGAAAACGTTGAAAGATCTCGGAGGGAATGTAGTGATGTAGGCGGGTTGCAGGGAGAGTTCACACGAGAAGAGGTAGAGGACTGTGTAGCGAAACTCAAGAATAGAAAAGCGGCAGGGGCTGATGGAATTGTGAATGAGCTTTTGAAACAGGGGGGGGGGGGGATGATTAACATGTTGGTCCGGATATTCAACTGGATATGGAAACACGAGTACGCGCCGAAGAGATGGAGAGAAGGAGTAGTCGTGAACCTGTTCAAAAAGGGGGATAAAACTGACCCGGGGAATTATAGAGGGATAACCTTGCTGAGCACAGTGGGGAAACTCTTTGGCAAGATGATAAACAATAGAATGGGAGACATGTTGGAGGGGAAACAAAAGATCAGCGAAGGACAAGCTGGATTTAGACCAGATCGTAGTTGTGTAGACCATGTATATACGTTGAGTAAAATTATCCAAGGTAGGAAAGACGCCGGGCGTACGACATACTGTTTCTTCCTAGATGTACAAAAAGCCTACGACACCGTTTGGCGCAATGGATTGTGGAAAAAGATGTGGGACATAGGGATCCGGGGGAAAATGTGGAGGATGTTGAAAAAGATGACAGAATGCACAAGAAGTGCAGTGATGTTGGATGGGGAAATCTCGAAGTACGTGGATATACTCCAAGGAGTCGCACAGGGCTGTACGATGTCACCCACTCTTTTCAAGATTTACATCAACGACTTGATAAGGGCGGTTGAAGCAGTAAGACAGGGAGTCCAAGTAGGGGGGAAGAGTGTGTCCGGACTGATGTTTGCAGATGATTTCGTGGGGGTATCCGAAACACCAGAAGGGTTGCAGGAACAAATAGATGCGGCAGTAGGATACACCCGAAAATGGAGACTGTCGGCGAACGTAGGAAAATGCGCAGTAGTGGTCTGTAACGAAGACAAGAAAAATCCCGTAGAATTCAAATGGAAATGGGGGGAGGAAGAACTACCGGTAGTAGACAGGTATACGTACCTGGGAGTAGAGATTTCGAAGGAGTGCTCATGGGACGCACACATAGCAAAGTTGATTGGGAAGGGTAAAGCTCAGATAGGCAAGATGGACGAGATCCTTACGGACCCACACCTAGACACTAGGATTAAGAGGTGTGTTCTCTTGAATGTGATTGTACCTAAGCTAGAGTATGCAGGAGAGGTATGGGAAGGTAACGAAAAGGCCGTCAAGCAGCTGGAAACGGTGCAGATGGCAGCGGCCAAGAAAATACTAGGATGTTCAAGTACAACGAGCAACACTGTATTGAGAGCAGAACTGGGAATGTACTCTCTTAAAACAAAGAGAGACATGCAAAAGTTGAATTGGCAGTACAAGGTAAGTAGAATGTCGGACGATAGACTACCAGCCATGGTTGACAAGGCAGCTTGGGGAAAAGCGACTCCAGGGAAGAAAGGAATCAGATGGGACAAGGTGGTAGAGAGGGTTTGGAAGGAGATAGGAGACGAGGAGGAGACATTGGACACGGAAGGGTTCGGGGGGTTCAAGAAGAAAGTCAAGGAGATGCTAGAAAGTAGGGAGGAGGCAACCCTTCGGAAGAAGGTACGAAGCGAAGACCACTTAGAGATATTCGGGAAGTTGAAAGAAGGGATAGGGATGAAGAGTTACTTGGACGGCCCCATGGACTACGCAAAAAAACTGAAGTTGCAATTTCGAGTAGGTGATCTGGACTTGCCAGAACGGAGGAAGAGGTACAGCAGCCGTTGGAGAGAAGAGGAGGATAGACAGACATGTCCATGTGGCATATCGGAGGAGAGTAGACCCCACATAGTTGGGGAGTGTGAGCTGTACAGGAAGGAAAGAGAGGATCTCGAGGAGGACATGAGACAGAGAGGGTGTGACATGGACAAGTTTGGTAAATTAGACAACAGCGAAAAAACGATCGCGGTAATTGGGGATAGATGGTGGGCACAAGAGGCCGCAGAGGACGGGGATAAGATGTGCAAGAAATTTTTTATGTAGTTTGTGGCAGAAACGTAAAGAGCTCCCAAACGTTGGTGGTGTCTCTAGTAGGGGTAGGAACGGTGCGCCGTCTCGAAAGGGACGCGTGGTCAATGGTCAAATGACTACGGCAAGCAACAAATGAGTACCCCCCCCCCTTCCCCCGTCCCCCCTCTCCTAGGGACATTAAATGGCTCGTCGAGAGTATGGCTTCCTCCCGTGGAGAAGCGGGACGGCGGTGGCTAGGCTGGCTCAATGACGGCCTGACCCTCCCGTTCAGCGGCACCCTCACGCTCGCTGGGCTAATCGCTGTGCTGCGGCCGCTGATGGCCTCCAATGCCTCCGGCTCGGGTCGGGGTAGGGGCGGCGAGGAGGAGGGGGGGGTGGGGGAAGTGCTGAGTCCGGCGAGGCTGCAGAGCACGATTTGGGCCGTGCAAGGTATGTATGTACGCGGAGGAAAAGGGTTGAGGGATACAGGAAGGAGGATTGGAGTAAAGCATGTTCGGAGTTCGCCAGTTGTCTTTTGGCTCCACTTTTTTTTTGTGTTTAGGTTGAGTGAGTAGTAGGGTTTTCGTTGTACACGGCCGTACTTCCTCCGTCCCGCAAGTCTGTTGTAGCATTGTGGCCGAGAATTTTTTGAGGCGGAACGATACTGCCGATGATAATAACTTCGGGTCCTTTGCCAGATATACAGCGCTGAGGATGCTGATGAAAAAGACAAAAAAGATAAAAGACAAAAAAGATAATTTTTCAAACCAAAAATCAAGTCGAAGTATCCCGGTTTGTTGGTGTTTCTTGAGAATTTGTGCGGGTGTTATTTTGTCCCTGTTCCCTCGCCGATCCTCTGCGAAGGAAGGAAGATGAAGGGTCTGTGTGGTAGATCCACGGCGTTCGATGACCACGGACCACCCCTCTGACCCGGCCTCTTGTCCTACCTATCAACCTACAACCATCTACTTGTGTGTGTGAGTGGTTGTGTGTGTTTATTAGCATCGATCGCGCTAACCGGTTGACCAAGGAGCAGACGTCTGTCCCAGCGGGTAAAATCAAGGTCCCTGGAAGGGATTGTGTGTGTGCGTGTGTGTTTTCTCTCTCGTCTTCATGCCCTATTGCCCGCCGTGTGTGTGCGTGTGTGTGTCAATCCTTGTTGTCCGCCTTGCGTGTGCGTGCCGTGGGTATGATATGATACGATAGGCATGAGCGCCCTGGTGGTGAACGCGCCAGGTGAGTCTAGGATGTGGTCCCTCGACACCATGCTGCCGGTGGTGCTTGGCAGCCTCTCCGGCCTCCTGCTTGCCGTGCAGGACCGGAGTCGAGGACAGGGCGGAGGGGGCGGCGACGAGGATGGCGACCGGGAGGTGAGGAGACAAATCAGTTGCTCAACCATCGCCCGCCTACCCACCCACCCGCCGGTCCGATCATTTCGTTGGCGGGCTATTTGTTTTGTGTCGTGTCGTGTGTTTCGCCCCGCCGCCGCAACCGCCACCTTTTTTTTTTTGGGCTAAAGAGTCCGGACCGAGAGGCGACGTGGACCGGCGTGCTCTGTTTCGCGATACATGGGTAGGTCTCGGTTTGCCTCCCGCGGGGAGAACCTCTGCCGAGGTGTGTAGGTATCGGCAACGACGGGTCGCCCCCCCGCCATGCTGCTCTGCAGAGGGAAGGGGCTTTTTGCTGGAGTCACGAGCACCATCGACGTCGTCGTGTTCGGACTCAAGATTTCTTTTGATCCTTCATGTTTCAACGTTCGGTGCGGATTGGTTTGCCTCTCGCTCTCGCCCACTATTGCTTCTTCCGCATATGCATGCTGTAGCCCGCCGCGGTTCGCTTTTTCTGCTAGGGGCTCAGTGTTTTTCGCTGTCTGTACAGTGTGGTTCCATGCACCTTTTCGGTGACGCCTTCTGTTGATTGGCTTGTCGCCTGCTTGTTGTTGTTGTTGCTCTTCTCGCTGTTGGTTGCGAAGAAGGAAGGTAAATACTTGATCCATGCAGGGTGTGGGAGCAAGGGTGTTTTTCTTCTTGTAACCATGTGGTGCTTTACACGATGGCGGGGCGGGGGCCAATTATCTCCCGTTTTTTTCTTTGGTCAGAACACAAGATGCTCTCAAATTACCGCATCCGTGCGTGTCTTTCTCGCGTGCGTCTTCCTTCCGAACAGTTAACGAAAATTTCGTTTCCGTTGCGTGGCAAAAAAAAACTGTCGCGCACGTGGCGGCGGCCGGTGTGCTTTGTCGATACAGGCGGTGTCGACGGAGGGTGTGCAACAACAACAACCACAGCAACAGCAACAGCAACAGCAACAGCAACAGCAACAGCAACAGCAACAGCTGCTGGTGGCGGCCCTAGAGGAAGCCCTGGCGAGGGTGTCAAGCAAGTACAGGAGCTGCTTGCCAGACTTGCGCTTTCCGCCGGTGTACGCGGAGACAATCAACCGCTTCTGCGCATCCTGACGTTTGGTGGACCCACCTCCCCTCCCATCCCCGGCGGGCTTTGTTGCTCCGGCCCCCGGCCCCCCACCACCGGAGACCCGCGTGTGCCCGATGGAATGTGGCGGCGAGGGCGGGGCGGGAGTGAGAACGAGATGAACATAGTCGGTGCAAATGATCTGGTCTGCCCACCTCTACATTCGTTATTTGATTGCGCGCAAAGTTTTTTTTTTTTAGTGTGTGCGGACCGCGGTTGTTCGTTGTTGGGTGATAACGTTTCGTCGTCGTCGTCGTCGTCCGTGTAGTACGTCGTGTGTTGGTAAACTAGTGAAAAGTATCAGTTGTGTGACCTGGGTGGTGCTTACAACCCCGCTGCTGCTGCTGTTCCTGTTGGTGCTCACGATGGAATCGGTTCTGGTTTTTACGGGCGCGCATTGCATGCACACCACGTTCTACAGCTGGCTTCCTGTGGATGAACAAATCTGGCTCACTTGCTCGCTGGTACGGGAGAGAGTTGATGCGTTTTGTGGTCGATCACAAGCACAGCTAGCTTGATATTCGCTCTCGGTTCCCCCCCTCCGAAGGAGCGACGCGATCTATCGCCCACAGCTTTCTGCTTTATGTACCGATTTAGAGACAGGCGCCCGCCCCTCTTGCTTGCTTGTTGGGGGAGTAGGGATGGGGAAGACTCGGGTCGCGACGGCTGCAAAGTAATGATTCTCGGGGGGGGGGGTGTTGTCCGGTGTTGGCGCCATGTTGTTGATCTGCAGATGGAGGATTCGGGCAGCATGGAGGCCGCAGTGTGGCAAAAGTAAGTGGGGGAAAAAACGTCCACTTCACGCGCATGTTGTGCCCGCGAGGAGCGCATGCGGCAATCCAGGGATCGCTGCTCTCTCCGTTCTTGATAGACTCATCGCGTTTATGCGGCAAACCAAGTAATGTTAAATAGTATATAACATTCGTGAAATTGATAGCGAAGCATGAAATTGAGAGTGAGACCCGAAAAAATTAAAATTCGGGTCCAGACGCCTCTTGCCATTTCTTGGGAAGTAGGGGTCGGGCGCTTCCAAGAAGCGGCGCAAATTGAAGGTCTCATCAGCAGCGTCACGAGCATATGCGTGTCATCGTCATCGGATGCTGCAGCTAGGAGCTAGGCAAGTTGCTAGACTTCCCCAGATTGGCTATTCCTGCCTCAAACTGTTGCAGGGGTGTTTGGCCTCGGGCAGTGGGCTCTGCTGTGGCTTCTGCTTGCCGCTGTAACTCCACATCGAGAGACTCCCACAGGATGACCAGGGTATCTGCTTGTAGCTACGGGCTGGCCCTTCAATTCAAGCTACACAGCAAGCTCCACCTCTCAGCAGTAGTCCAGCTGCAGCGCATCGCGCAATATCGCTCTCAATCAGATGCTTCGCTCTCAATTTCACCAATATGCTGTTTTAATGTGTAACTATTCCAACATGCTTGCGTAATTGTAGGTTTTTCGTTCGGAATCAGTGTACATATTGCCAAAATCGAGACATTTTCAACAAACGAGGATGATGATGTCATGTTGATGGCTGGCGATTTTCCCGGTGATTCTGGAAATATTCCAGACAAAGCTTCTGCTTCGTGACGGCTCCCACACGCTTAGG